CTCCACAATGCTTATGTGCGAGATGCTAGAGTGATCTCTCTCATAGTGTTATTGCCGGCCGTTTTTTTTGGGCGGTGAGGATTTTTCGACCGCCACGTGATTGTACCGTCACAGACATGCTCTGTCCGTGGCGGTCGAAAAATTCCGTAGAAACCGTCACGGGCCACGCGCCGTCTGTTGCTACTCCATTCAATAAACCGCCACTGACATAGCAAGTCTGTGACGATAGCGAACACTATTCGTATAAGGAAAGAGTTTATATAAGGTTGCAAGCTTAAAATGTAGAATTAAAGACGCACCTCAAAAATGCATGAAAAAGTTGTTTTAAGGCCAAAAAACCTCTAATTGACCATCTCGACACTGAGATATATGAATATGAAAAAAAAAATAAATTAAGTTCCAAAAATAATGCATCTTGCGGCACATTATCTAGACCGTTTATTTTCAAGATTTTCATATGTTTATATATCTGTTTGATTTTAACCAGTTTTGAAGTTTAAAATTTTATAATTAGGTATGAAAACAGATTTTCAGATAATCATAAGAATTATTTATACCAAAATTATATGTTATGATAAAATTTGGAGGTACAATTTAATTGGATTATTTAAGGTTGCAACCTTATAGAAACCACACTATATATACATATAAAAGCAAACTCCTTTGCGAAGAAGAGAGTTGCTTTACAATGATTTATGGTGATGTAACTCTTTGTGATTATCCTTTCAACAACAAATTTAATATCATTTAGCCAAAAAAAAATCTTAGAAAAGTTTATACGAAGGCGAGGCTCTAAACAATCAAATTTGAACCTACCTCAAAAATTTCGCTAGAATAAACTGTTTGATGCCCAAATATCTTTAAATTGATCATCTCGACATCAAAATGCATGGACATGAGAAAAAAACTGATTTCAAGTTCTGGAAATAGTGTATTTTATAACGCATTTTGGAACCGTCAATTTTCAAGATTTTATAGATCCGCCGATGTACACTACTTTTTAAGTTTTAAACTTTGTAAATAAATATAAATTTTTTTTTTAAGGCTATCATAAAGATTTTCCATATTGAAACTACATTTCTCGACACTATTTGAAGGTAAAGCTCCAATTTGATTGTTTAGAGGCGAGGCTCTATACAAACCGCATCCTTAAATTAAAAAGTCACGAGCCTGTGAATGGAACGGGGCTTGAGACGGACTCTCTCCCTCTCTCTCTAGAATCAAGGATTCTCGCCATTTCCCTCCCAGGCGGCCTGTTTCCTCTGTGTTTTGACTTCAATAACAAATGATCAGTACAGTACAGTACAGGAGAATGTCTCTCCCCCCACCTACTCTCTTTCTTTTTATTGGATAAGGGGATTGAGTGGGCGGTTCACATGCCTTTTCTATTTACAAAATGGCGCACAAATACCACTACTCATACTGTTCTCCTTGTTCCTTCGTTTCGTCGCAGGTTTGATGCATTCTTGACTCCTCTTCCATTTTCTCTCCCTTTCCTTGACCGCTATCTCTTCCCTTTTATAAAACATATAATTCTCACATTTCGGTTTTGAGTTTGCAGGCAGGAGCCATGGCTTTTTGTCATCTCACAACCCTCTCATTCTCTCTACTTGCTGCTGTTTTTCTCTCCATTTGTGCACCTCTGGTTGCAGAAAGTAATGTGAGTGTTTGGTTGAGTACTCGTTTAGACCAGTGCTGTTCCAGCTTTTTTTCTTTTTTTTTTCTTTTTTCTTTTTAATTAAGTGGAAGGTTGTTTGTGATGTAGGCTTACATTGTTTACATGGGAGAGAAGCTGAACCAGGAGGCTGAACAAATTCAAGACTTGCACCACCGCGTTCTATCGGACCTACTTGGAAGGTCTTCCTGGAGCTATTTTGTTCTTGAATTTCTCTTACATTTCACTTTTTCTTCTTCATTTCTGAAACTCCTTTCTCAGTGACACCTCATACTTCCTCTCTGATTTTAAAATATTGTACACATAGGCAGACTTATATCTAGTCTTTAAGTTCAAAGACAAATGCTTTTTTCTCTTTAGTTTTGAGCATTTGATAGTACTCAGTAAATTGATTTGCTTGATTTGCATAAGAAGGTCTAGAAGTGTTAGATTGATTCGTGATTCCTCTCTTTATTCTTGAAAACAAATACCAGTGACGAGGCATCCTCGGCATCAATGCTATACAGCTACAAGCATGGCTTTTCTGGTTTCGCTGCAATCTTACCGCCTTATGTGGCGAAGCGTATTGTGGGTATGACTGTTTGCAGCATATTCTTTATTTCAATTAGGATGATGACTTTTGGAAAATCAAGTCTTCCTTTGGGTTGATACAACATCTATCTTCAGTTTAGGTTTTCTTAAACAGCAAAAGTATTGGATGCAGATTATCCTGGAGTTGCTCGTGTTATGCCTAACCGTATCCTCAATATACAAACCACTAGAAGTTGGGATTTTCTGCATATGAATCCCATTTCCATGCATGGCCTTCTCTCTGAGAGCAGGTTTGGTCAAGGATCAATTATTGGCATTCTGGACACAGGTTTGTTTGTTCATCTGGTTAGCCTACAATTCTGTCATACTTTAGTTTATAAAACATATTCATTTCCTTTACTACAGGTATATGGCCAGAATCTGAAAGTTTCAAGGACCATGGTATGAGTGAAGTTCCATCTCACTGGAAAGGTGTGTGTCAGGAAGGAGAGCAATTCAGTTCTTCCAATTGTAACAGGTGTGGTTGCTTTAATGCTTTTGTAGTTTTACTTGCTCTGATTCTAACTCATAATCATTTTAATCAAGATCTTTGTTGCTTGAACCTTTCAATTGATGCTGCCTCAAAACATTACTCTCACAACCTGACAACTATGCTCACAACAATAGGTATTTGGGGATATTATGCAAGAGACACAAACCTAATCAAGAATGTTGCCACCACAATACATTGGAAGGAAGACTCCCTTTCCAAACTAGGATGGATGTAAACATGCCAACTTGCTCAATATTCTATACGATTGGTTCGTTGCGTGATTTCTAGTAGGCATATTTGCAAAGTGGTATCCCAACTTCCCTTGCAGAGTGCAGACCACTTCACTAGTAGTACATACTCGTCTCTTTACAAAGTAGTAGTCTACTTCAACATTCTTAATAAAGATCTTAAACCAAATTAGCTTGCATCTCTATGTGAGCCATTACCTTGTATTGGGCCTCTTCAGTGGATCTTGCCTCCACAGTGCTACTTCTTACACTTTCATACAGCCAAGTTGGCTCTAACAAAAATGTAATAAGACAATTATTCCTTTGCTTGTTAGTAAGAGCAGTATTTTAACTACTCAGCTGAGTCCACTCGGACTCGGCCCGTTGCTGAGCTGAGAACCTGGGTACAACTTAGGCATATTAAAAAATGAATAAAAGAACATAAAAATTATATAAATTTGTAGGATCAATATGTAAAAATTGTATATGTAGTTTGGATTTTTTTTACAATGATTTGTGAGTTTTTCTTGTCATTTGCGCTATTTTTGTATTTTCTTCTATGTTTTGATTTTTCTGAAATGCCTCCAACTGTAAATCAATTATTTCTTAATCCATGTTTTATATTTTTTTCAGCTTATTTGGACATTTTAGTTTGTTTTTTGTTTTGTTTCACTTTTAAATTTTTTATTTTATTGTTTAACTATTTTATTTATTTTTTCTAAATGTTTAGGGATTTTTGGGCCCTATCACATTACTCGGCCAAGTCTAAGTGGATGTGGCTGAGTCCAATTGGACTAGGCCGAGTTACTTGGCTCAGGCCAGGGCCTAGTCCGAGGCCCAAGTTGAGTATAAAAACATTGAGTAAGAGAATCGACACAATGCTTACTAGTAAGATTGATAGGTGTAGGTGGGCATGTCCAGAAAAAAGGATCTTCTTCCCAAATGGGCTATGGAGTCGCCACAAAATTCTACTAATTGTTCCAAAAGTGCCCTCTATGGACATGCATAAATTATAGCATTACCTCAATTGCTGTGGCCAAATCTGGTTTTCTGAGAGTACAGTTTATAAGCTTCCCAACCGTTCGTGGTCTTTAAGTAGATCTCGGTTATTTGAATTCAGTTGGTTTTTTACAAGTACTGAGTCTACTGACTGTACTTTTGAGTACATGATAACCAGTATCCCTTCATAAACTGAGGGTGTACTTCCATTAAGAGATGAAAATGTATTTTTTGGAGCTACATCATTACTAGTAAGAAGATTTCAATTGACGTAGATTAGGTGGTCTTGTCTTTTTCCTTCATCAACATTGAGTAGTCTGCATGACTTTCATGAAACTATTCCCTTTTCTTCATCCTCTGTCCAGACAAACCCATGTAGGTGTAACTTGTAAATTTCCTGTAGGGCACGCTATGCAAGAAGCCATTCTTTGCATCCCATTTGTTGGTGATTGCATCTCATTAATAGATAGGATAACTGAAATGGAGTTTACTTTAATTACTGGGACAAATCTCTGTGGAGTCTTCTTTGTGAAATCCACCCATATGGTTTGGTGAACCATTTCGCAAAATTCCATGCTTTATAGCTCAACAGTACTGTCAAAGGAACACTTTAATGTGTGCACCTTCTTGCAGAGAACTATTGAATTTCCCTTTAGTTAGGGGGCCCTGTCCTAGTTTCCATTCTCTTATCTAACATTCAGTATGCATAATAGAATTATTAGTACAAGAACTATCTTCTTTTTGCACTGCAGAAGTCAAGATCAACCGCATTGATATTAAAAATTGTGCCATAAAGCAGGCAAACCTGAGCTTGGAGGGAGTCCTTGATGAGAACTTTGTGGTTCTTAGAATATAATGTTTTCCTCCTATTGGAATCATTTTCATGCTACTAAGAATGTTGGACTGAAAATCTTCAATGAGAACCAGAAGTACATGACTCTCCCCTTTTCTTGTTATTCGACTCTTGAGGAGATCGAAAGGGCCTTTTCTAATGCTAAAATATATGAGACCTCTTGTTCTGATAGTCAATTTTCATAAATTGTCAAAAATACATCAAGTTGTACTCGTTAAGGTGCATACAAACTGAGACATACACATCCGAAAGGAAAAAAAAGAGAGTTAGGGGCCTAGCTATGGCTAAAGAGGGATTTCTTTTTGTCTTTCTGATGTATATGGGTAGAGAGTTAGGGACCTAACTATGGCTTCATCGCCTATATATAAAGAAATCCCTCTTTAGCCAAGCCCATTTGCTTTATCATTATGTCTCTACACATGGCAGAACGTACACCTGGCGGAATAACTCAATGCAAGAATCTCCTCCTTCACGTCTGCAAAATGTAGGGGTAGGATGACTTGATGTTAAGCGAATGACCTCAAGAGTATCGTCATTGGCTCTTAAAAGGATCTCAAACAGTGTCAATCCTGTCACAGTCACATCCTTGGAAATTTACTTCTTGGTCCTTGGGTAATAACACTTTTTTCAAACTTTTTGGTGGACGAGTTACTAAAGAAAACAAATTACACCAAGGACCAAGTGTGCTTTGAAGGTTCATGATTTATAAGCTGTAGAGGAGATTTACTACCTAGAGCTAAGTGGGTGTCTGATAATAATATAATGTGGAGTCAAATACTGCACTAGGACCAATATATTTTAGGAACTTTATGGGCAAGAAGAAGACCAATATATTTTAGGAACTCCATGGTGAAGTAGAAGATATTGAGTTCCCTTAAATAAATGCAGATTCATTTTGCCACTACACCATTCTATCATGTTCTCGATAGGGGACGTTCTCTGAATATCTTAGAGCTTCTTGTCTTTGCACTGAACTCCTTCTCTTTTGAGGTCTTCAACTTTCTTGTTCTTATAAGAAGGTAATGCCATAATGCTGCTATAGTCCATTGCTCCCATATCATGCAACATAATAAGATGGTTTCCTGGCAGCTCAGACATATCCTTTTATGTCCCTACTGCCATCTACTGTAGGAACTATTGCCATGCTGTGCTCCCAGTAATTAGTGGTTGTGAGCCTAGGATGGAGCCTTATGTCAGAATCAAAAAAATTTGAAAATATTTACCAGTCTCTATAGCTTTTTCACGAGAATATCATCTGGAGGCTTGTGACATTCCAATTCATTTTTCACTTGTCTTCTAGTAGGCTGCGATCAAGGATAATTTTCAAAGAAATTAACCAAATTTAGGAGGTATGAATGTGTTCCAAACCATTTTAGTCTTAGGGGCATTTTTGCATGCTTTCTCCTAGTTGCATTCTGAACTTGTTTGAGTGGAAATGTGCCCTGCTTTATCCTAGTTGCATTCTAAGCCTGTTTGAGTGTAAAAATGTGCTGCTTTTAGACCCTTCAGAGAAGAGCCCTTCGCAGTCGCTATGGGGTAATTTTAAGGTAAAACATTTTGTTCATAATTTTTTCTGAAACTTGGGGGCAGTGAAAAAAAATGTGTTTTGGGGTATGAGTATGAGAGACTTTCAACGGAGATTATTTTGAGGAGAACTTTCTACTTTGGGAGGGGGTTAAGTAATTTTCCCTAATTTTAATTATTGAAAATTTTAATTAGTAAATATTAATCAGTAAATATTAATTATTAAATTTTACTGAAGGAAGAAGGTTAGTTCAAGTCCCTATCTTGCTCATAGATGTAGGGAGCTTGGATGTGGCATGGTGATCCCCACTGAAAGCATTGCTCCAACAATCCTAGAGTAGGACCTGGAATGGACCTCGCACCCCCTCCATTAAGGGATATTGATCTCTATCTTATGAGGATCTTAATCCCTATCTAATATGGATCTATTTCAAAAACATTTGAATTTTGAACCATGTGTCTTTGAATTTGTGCTGATATTTTTCTTTTTACAATTTTCTAGCTAATGACCACCTGCAACTGATTTTTCTTTTGTGTTTGCATAGTCGCAGTTTGCATTAGTGACTGAAAACTGGTGAGCCAACTCCAAATCACCCAAATCAGCTAGGACATTGGGGGTTCCACGATCCTGGATGGTCCCGAACCAGAGAATCTTCCCTGTTGTCAAAACTAGGCAGTTCATTCTAATGAAGCACCCATTTCAATATAGGGACTTGAGCAACTCATAAGTTCAGTTCTCATCATGTCCCACAATCTCATTTTTCGCAAATTTCTATAGGATTTTCAGGCTGTAAAGTTCTCATTTGCATGCGTATAGATAATGCTAAAACTGTGGATTATATTTTTAAATTTTTTAAATATTATTTTAAAATAAAATAATATACACCACATATTTAAAGTAAAGGGGGCTCCCGAGTGTTCCCATAGACATATAGTACATATATCAAGCTGCTTCTAGGGCCCTACTTGAACATGGCTTCCATGGTAGGAGCGTCAACCATGGGTCAATCCTAGGGTATGGCTCCTACTCCCGCTTCCAACAACTATGGGGCCATTACATTTTTCCTGAACGATCTAACATGTGGTATTTCGGTATTATGTAAAATCGTGGGAAGCGTGACACTCTTTTTCAAGTGGTACTCATTGAACCACTCATCTGCCAACCCTGCAGAGAAAGACACTTCACATCCTTTTCACCTTAACCAAGTATGGGGAACTAGTTTTTTTTTATGTGCCCACCTCATCATTGCAGATTCTCTGAATAGCTTTAATGCTTTATCCTTTTTGTATATTTTGGTCCCTTTTGGGCTTGCATAGCATTTTTTCTCTCGAGAATGCAGAGTGTGACATTGTGGGGTCACCATACTTCTCGTTTGTCTTGT